ACCGGCGGCGGCGGGGCCGGAGGGCGGTGGACGAGCTGGAGGCCTTCCTGGGGGGCGCGTCCCCAGGCGGCCACCTCCGCGGGGGCGGGGACTACGAGGAGCTTTAGACCCGCTGCTGCCGGGCGCACTCCCTGCTCGTCTGGGGCGCTGGGCCCCCCTGCAGAGTGGGCCGCTGCCGCCGGCCGCATTGCTTCTCAGGGAGGGACTAAGGCCCAGGAGGCCGGCGAGGCTGTTTACAAAGGCGGACGCCCGGGTCACCGCCCACCGCATGCGGGCGGCCGGCTTCCTGCGGGGCTCCACCCGGCTGCGCTCCGCTGGCCCCGGCTTCTGGGCCCATCTGCTGACAATGGGCAGTGCTGGCGCCTCCCGGGCGTGGTGTCCAGCGTCGCACCTGCCGGGGCGCGCCCCAGCCGGAGCCAGAATTTCCTTTCTCCTTCCACACTCAGCTCCCATCCATAAAGCTCTCCTGTTTTACTGCTTGTCTGTGTGCTGCTTCCTGCTGCTCGGCTCCCAGGGTGGCCAGCTGGGACTTGCCTGCAGGCCCCTCTTTGCCCCTGGTCACCATGGGTTGGTGGGAAAGGCCGGTGCTCTCACATTGGGCCAAAGAGCCTTTATTCCCAGAAGGGAGGCTGCCTTCTGGGGTAGGAGGACTTCCCAACAGGCCAAACCCAGGAGAGCCATGTGCTGTCCAGGTTGGGCCAGCATGGCCACTGCCTTGCATATTTGTCCCAGTCTATCTAGGCCAGGGCTGGGCGATTGCTCCCAGGAATACATGGAGGTGCCCAGCTCTGAGGGCAGGGGTGTGTCCATGTTCTGCCAGCCTCCAGCTGCCATTAGCACCCAGCCGCACCCCACCACCAGTAGCCAGGGGAAAGGCTCTGATACTGGAGCTGCCCCTCCCTCCAGGGGTGGGCAGGCTGGGCACCCCCCTCCCAGTCCCAAAAACCTCCCTTTACCCAATTTCTGTTCCTATAGTAGTTGTTTTGGTTTTTTTTAATAATTTTGAGAGAGAGGAAGGGAGTGGAAGAAACACCAATTTGTTATTCCTCTTACTTATGCATTCCTTGGCTGATTCTTGTGCCCTGACCAGGAATTGAACCCCCAACCTTGGTTATAGGGATAGTGCTCTAACCAACTGAGCTACCCGGCCAGGGCCAGTGTTCCTAGAGTTTTGAACCTCTGGTTGGGGAGCAGGGGGCACTGGGACAGCAGTCACTGGGTAAGCTAATATGTAGGGACTTCCCTTAGGCCACAACCTGTGAGGTCAACCATCCTTGTGGAGCCCATGAATGTGGGCCTGAGAACAGTACTCATGAACTTGCCCCGGGCCCTACATTCTCACAGACCCACAATGGGACAGGTCCCACTCTTTGGAGCCAGAGTTATTCATGGTCCACTCCTGCCCTGTTAGAATGTTCCCTGGCTCAGCATCTTGGGGGTGGGGGGAAGCTGGCAGGGCTGGAATGGGCCACCTGCAGACCTGCCCAGGGCAGTGACAGCCCCTGCCTGCTTGGACAAGAGGTGAGGGTGGCAGGAGCCTGTCCTCACCTGGGAGAGGCTGGGCATCCTAGGGAAAGGCTTCAGGCCCCAGTCCAGCCTGGTGGCCATATGGCCCCAGGTACCTGCAGAGAGTTTGGCGCCTCCAGCACTGCAGTACAGAGCCAGCGGGGCGGCGGGGAGCCGCCCATCTGCTCCCGCCTGGGCCCAACCCCAGGTGTGAATTCCGGGAGTGAATTTTGGGAGCTGCCTGAGGCTCTGGCCAGGGCTTGGGGCTCCTCCAGAGCCCTGCTCCCATGCCCTGCCTGGCTGCCAGGTGGGAGCTGGCAGGACCGGCAGGCCCCCAGGTTAGACCCCAGGCGCCTTGCGGGTACCAGAGGGCCGGTCACGCAGCGCACAGCACCAGCGCCGAGCCAGGGGGCCACGTGGGTCCCAGGCCCAAGGCGCGGCCCCTTTAAGTGCAACCCCGCCGGCCACCATCGGGGGCAGCACTGAGCTGCCGGACGGCCTCCGCTCCGCTGCCTCGAAGCTTCTGCCGGTGCCGGGGACGCGGTGCGGATGCGGCGGGGACGCCGGGGAGTGGGGGGCGGCGGGCGGGCTCCGGCCTGCACAGCCTATCGGGCTNCGGGGGAGCAGCGCTCAGGTAAAGGTCGGGGGCTGCTGCCCCACGCGCCCTGTCTCGGGTGGGGCGCCCGCAAGGATGGGGGTCCCGCCCCCGGCCATCCCGACCGGGCCGCTGGGGGCTGGGGGCCAGGTTGTGCCATGGGGAGGGCCGCCCCCGAAGCTCATTAGGCCTGAGACCCAAATGGGGCAACCACCCCATCCCCCCTGGTGGGGGTGTTGTCCTCACCAGGCAGCGGCAAGGCCAGGCTGTCACCTCCCTGGGGCGGAGCCTCACCCCGTCATACGGCCCCCAATCCGGCCTGACTTTGAGCTTAGGATGGTCGGAAGGGGGCGGGCGGGGGATGGTCCTATAAACCAGGGAGAGTTGGGGTGGAGGCGAGGCTGGGATGGGGACAGGCACTGGACTTTGGTGGCCCTGAGCCAGAATAGCAGCCCTGCTGGCAGGAAGCCCCTGGCACCCCTGGGACACACAGGGTCTACCCGACCCCGACAGGTGAGGGCCAGCGGCCTCCTTTCCCCCGCTCACCCTGGAGCACACTCCTCGGCGGTGTGAGGAGGCGGGGCCTCTCGGCACCGTCTCAGCCCCTCCCCAGCCTGTCCGAGGGGCTGGTGGTCCAAGTCTGAATGGGAGCCTGGTACAGAGGGTGGACCCCAGCCCAGCCCAGCCAGCATC